GGTTTTTAGGAGAACCTCTCTCGATTATCCTCCTAACTATGTTTAATCAACAATTCAACTAGCCTCTACCGGTTATTAAGAAGAATAAATGAACTCAACCAACAATATAATGCAACGATATCACAAGTTATGCCTCTCTCGATTACATGAATAAGTGAATATAGATGCAACGATTAAATCATCCAAAACGCTTCAATACATAACACTAGAGTTAATATCCACAAACAAATATCAATACACCAAATCCATCAAACCCTAAAGGGAACTACTCCATGGATATGGAGTAATTCATCGCAAATATATTTAAAGTATAGGAAAACATAAAACGATCCAAACTCGTGTCTTGAGTTAGGATTGAATGATGAATTCCTTGTATTTTTGCTTATACAACTCCTCTTTAGCCTCCTTAGGTCTAAGATGTGTCAAAAAGTCTAGAAAATAACATTTTTTATGTATATATACCAAGTAGGGTTGGGCCCTGACGAAAACACCTTTTTCTACGCGAAATAGGACAATTACACTGTAAAAATTATATGGGCGCGCGGCATGGGGAGACGCGCCCGGCAGGGCAACAGTGGGAAACTTTAGAGAGCTTATAATTTGACAGGGGCAGCAAAATTGGGCAGCTGCAACACCCCACGCACCGCGGCTGTGGAGGTTTCTCAGAGCGAACTTTTTCGCTCGCTTTTTGATATCCAAGCTTGGTCCTTGACCCCTGAACGCGATCCCGAATTAATTCCTTGGGCTTTTACTCAGACTTCAAAGCTCCAAATCACTCAAATTCATCTGTAACATCAACATAGCTCAAAATCACTCCTACAATGCATAAAACATGCAATAAGCACAAAATACTAGCGATTCAAGCTCAAATACAATTAAAGTGCAGTAAATTAGAGTGAAATAAGTCACTAAAAAAATGTAATTATAGCCTACCATCACACTGCGGGGTCCATTTGAAATTATTTTTCTTTTTGAGCAGTGCATTTTTCTGGTGACCTGGAAATGAACCTGCTCAAAGCTGCCAATCTCTCCGTGAGGCTTTGGACTTCCTTCATGTTTGACAGTTGGTCCGCAATGTCTTCTATGGCCTTGATCTTATCAGGGTTTACCTCAATTCCCGCTTGCGATACTAGAAATCCCAAAAACTTACCAGAGCTGATCCCGAACGCGCATTTCTCGGGGTTAAGCTTCATGTTATGATTCCTTAGGATATCAAACGTTTCTTGCAGATACTTAAAGTGATCACCTGCATTCAAAGACTTAACGATCATATCGTCTATATAAACTTCCATGTGTTTCCTATTTGTTTTTCAAACATCTTCTCAGGGTTAAGCTTCATGTTATGCTTCCTTAGGATATCAAAAGTTTCTTGTCGAGGCTTAAGGTGATCACCTGCATTCAAAGACTTAACGAGCATATCGTCTATATAAACTTCCATAGTTTTTCCTATTTGTTTTTTCAAACATCTTGTTCACGAGCCGTTGATAAGTGGCTCTGAAATTTTTCAACCCGAAGAGCATCACATTGTAGCAACATGTACCAAAATTCATTATAAACGAAGTCTTTTCCTAATCCTCTGGGTTCATCTTAATTTGGTTGTACCCAGAATAAGCATCGAGGAAACTCATTAACTTGTGCCAGGTCGTGGCATCAATCATTTGATCGATGTTTGGTAGTGGGAACGAGTCTTTCGGGCACGCCTTATTAAGATCTTTATAATCTACACACATGCGAAATTTGTTGTTCTTTTTAAGAACTACTACTACATTGGCTAGCCAGTCGGGATATTTTACTTCTTGGATTGACCCGATGTTAAGTAAATGAGTTACCTCCTCTTTAACGAATTTATTCCTAACTTCCGCAATAGGGCATTTCTTTCATCTTACCAGAGGTATGTTGGGGTCCATACCTAACTTATGTACGGCTACCTCTGTCGGGATACCTGTCATATCCGCATGCGACCATGCAAAACAATTGGCATTAGATTTAAGAAATTCAACAAAACTAGACCTGGGTACGGGGTGTAGTCCTGTCCCCAAGTGGAATTCACTTTCTAGGAATTTTTCGGACAATGGAACTTGCTCAAGCTCTTCCGTTGTGGATTTCATTACATCCATCTCTTCTGGAACCTGGAAATACCTCAGCACTTGATAATATCCGTTGTTTCTGCCCCTGGGCTAACTTCATATAGTTCGGGAGTAGGAGTCATTTCCTATAGTTGCTATGCTGCGTGTCCCTTTCCTTTGCTACTGGAGACCAAAAATTACGTTCATCTCTCTTGCCGTTGGTTGGTCACCCCTTATCTGCTTAACCCCCTCGGGCGTTAGAAACTTCAACAATTGATGATATGTTGATGGTATTCATCTCGTGCAACCATGGTCTTCCCAGAATAATGTTATATCCCATATCACCATCTACCACTTCAAAAAGAGTTGTTTTCATTACCCCTTCGACGTTTGTGGGAAGAAAAATCTCTCCTCGTGTTGTCACGCTCACGAGGTTGAATCCGGCGAGGAGTTTTGCGGTCGGAATAATGCTTCCAGTGAGTATAGCTTGCTCCAATACTCTCCATCGTATAATATTAGCCGAACTTCCTGGATCCACTAGAACACGTTTAGTTTTAAAATTTAGCACATTTAAAGAAATTACTAGTGCGTCATTGTGTGGTAGCAGCAATCCGTCTGCATCCTCCTCCGTGAAAGTGATATCGTCTTTGGAGACTTCCCGGAGCCTCTTGCTATAGGTTATTGATACTTTCGTCTTTTTTGCTACCGAGAAGGTGACGCCGTTTATTTCATTCCCTCTGAAGATCACGTTGATCGTTTGGCACGAGGGATCTTCTCCTGCATTTGGGGATTTCGCATTGTCCCGGTTACGACCATAATTTCTCTTAGCTCGGTCACTTAAGAATTCTCTGAGATGATCATTCTTTAATAGCGTTGCCACTTCTTCCTGGAGATGTCGGCAGTCCCAAGCCTGGTGGCCATTCGTCCCGTGGTAGTCGCACCACAGATTGGGATCCCTCTAGCTGGGATCAGATCTAACTGGTTTCGAGAACCGTGCTTCTTTGATGTTTCTCATGGCTGACACCAATTCCACTATACTAAAATTGAAGTTGTATACTAATAACATGGGGTGAGAAGGATCCCATGACCCTGATGATTCTTTATCCTGCAGCGATCTATTGTTCCGACTGCGATCAGCCCTTCTATCTACGGCAAACCTACCCGTTGTTCGGAAGCCTCTGCTGCGGCCTTCGATCTGTTCGTAGGGCAAAAACCGGCCTCTCAAAGTCCATCTGTCCGTGTCGTAATCATCTTTTGATTTTTCTCTATTCTTCTCCCGTCCTTTGGCCGATGATGGAAAACCAACCTGATCATCTTTGATCCTTATTTTTTATTAGTACCGGTTGTGAACATCCGCCCAAGTCGTTGCTTGGAACTCAAGCAGGCTTTCCTTCAGTTTCCAAGAAGCATCTGCACTTCTCGGATTCAGTCCCTTGGTGAACGCTTCAGCCGCCCATTCGTCCGGGACAGCTGGGAGCAATATTCTCTCCTTTTGGAATCGGGTGACGAACTCTCGTAGCAACTTAGATTCTCCTTGCCCAATCCTGAATATGTCGCCCTTTCGGGCCTGTACTTTTCTTGCACCGGCATGAGCCTTGTTGAATGAATCCGCGAGCATCTCAAAGGAGTCTATGGAATGCTCAGGTAACAATGAATACCACGTCAAGGCTCCCCTCGTGCGAGTCTCCACGAATTTCTTCAGCAAAACAGATTCAATTTCGCGATGAGCTAAATCACTTCCCTTCACAGCCGTTGTATAGGTGGTAATATGCTCCTCAGGATCTGAAGTTCCATTGTACTTTGGCACGTCGGGCATTTTAAACCTCTTCGGAATTAGTTTTGGTGTTGCGCTTGATTTGTATGGCAACTGAGTATATTTCCTTGAGTCTGGTCCTTTCAGCACCGGTGGTGCGCTTGGGATTTGATCTATGCGGGTGTTCACTTCCTCATAAACTGTAAGAGTTCATTTTTGAAGGGATCGTTTTCGTTATTGGAGCCGGATCTGCTCCCCCCTCCCCCCCTCCCCCCGCCCATCGGAGCCAACTTTGCCCCTCGGGGTGTTGTTGTCGACCCTCTGCTTTGTTTGATTCGTAGGAGCGCCGGGAGGAACCGGCTCTCGTCTATTTGCGTTATTTGAAGCCCCCCACAGCGCCTGCTTCAACTCCGTCCTAACTTTATCCTGTTGCGTGAGGTGACCTAGAATGATCACCCGTTGCTCTTGCAAAACCCTTACCGCGTCAACCACATGTTCCTCCTCAACATCATCGGGAGTTGTCTCCCGAACATGTCGAGGATATTGTTTGTAAATGCTTTTGGTTATTATAAATACCGAGTAACGAATTGTCATTCATTAAAGGTGAACCAATGTGAGAATCTTTGTAATGTCTAGCAACAGAAACAACATTTATTAATCGTATGAAATTGATGACGGTTAAAAAAGAAAAAAGTATCACCACTAAAAGGACAATCAAGATGCATCCTTTAGTAAACCTTATTATTAGCACAAAAGGAAAACATAAAGCCTTAAGTTATTACTCCTAGGATTCTTGGAAGCAGGAAAAGGTTTTACTGAATCCAAAGCAGCAAAGATTTAGATACTGTAATCTAACTTAATTCCCGTAAATTTATATAATTGCTCAAATTCAAACTTAAAGAGAAAAAACCAAATCTGAAGACATCCAAATAGTGTCTACATTGCAACATGATTTAATTTAAAACCCACATTGCAGAAAAAGCAGAACCAGGGTCTCGGCCAAAATGAACAGAAACATAAAACTTGGTTACGCATACCAAAACATATGGTTTGCAACTAAAGCTAAAAGTAAATAATAGCAGTAATTATAGTACTAATATTTTTACATAATCATATTCATAGCATCTTAATACTCACTCCAAATGATGACAAAAAGAAATATAATAATAATTTCTTGTCACTTAGCGATCAAATGGGCCAGTAGAATCAAGCTGTCTGCAAAGGGTCAGGTACGTGAGATAAAGAACACGATCCTTAGCACCAGTCCTGTGAATCTTGTTATGTTTGCAGAAATACTTGAGCTGTTCAAGAGTACAACACCCAAGAAACTGACCCAAAAGCAAGAAAAGCCAATTAATCTCTTTTTTTTTGGGTGCGATAATAGGCTTCACACTGTTCTCTTGTTCACAAAACTTGCAGGTTGACAATACAGGGTTCATCCAAATATCAGGCGCACGGTCATGCATGGCCACCTTGTGTAGAGCAATAAAGGCCCCAACTTGGGCAAACTTTTCCCTTAAATCGAACTCCATTTCATATTTTCGTTCACACCTCTTGCATTGAACATCTCCAGTAATAGTAAAAATCTGCTTCGAGTTAAGGGTGTTGAGGCTGTGAATAATTGCTCGTTGATTTGTGGCCCAAGAGTAAGGTGGTGGGATGGTGTCGCTTTTTCCCGATTCACGAAATTTTCGCCGATTGCGCCGAATTGGACCGTGACGAGATGGGGGCGGGGTGGGGTGGGTGGGGTGGGGCGAGTACAAAAGCTGATTGTACGGAGGGGAGTGTTGGTGCAGGAACTGCAGGAGTAGCAGAAGAAAAAGACGACAGAGACAATGCGAGAAAGTTACTGTCGTTTTGTTGAGAGAAATTTGTTGGGATCTGAAAATCTTGGCTATTGTTTTCATGACTGTTGTTGTTGTTGTTTTGTCCTTGCATAGGGTCGTGCCTCGACATTTTGTATCTGTACAAAGGGATTAAGTAAACACTTTGATGAGAATATATATATATATGTATATGCAAAGAGATGGAAGAAAGAGGAAAGGAGAAGGGTTTGTTATGTGTAAAATGTAGGAGTGTGAGGAGTGGATAACTACAAAGAAACAGAAAAGGCGATAGTAATTCCATTTGGTGTAGACTCCTTTTTGAATTTCGGAAAGAAAACAAAAAATGCCTTTTCAAATTCGGTTAAAGGGGGAATAAATTCATCATATCTTTATCTATAATTAATATTAGTACTCGCGATGCACCGTCAATAGGAACTACTATATTGGTATTCATATCTTATTTATAATTTTACATCAAAATTATTGCTTTAATATTTAAATTATATTTTTTACTGAGGCTAGTTTTTTCTTATAGTATTTTTTATACTTCTATATAAGAAAAAAATTAAATTTTGTTAAAGAGATTCACTAACATGCTTTCAGGCTAAGAAAATAGAAGAAAGCTTTGGATCTAATTTTTATGGTCAATTTGTATCACAAATTATTTGTTATAATTTATCCGTTCTCATCTATAGAAATATCCTTTGAAAAAAATATTATATTAATAATTTATCTTTTCAAATTATCACCCTTATCCTATTTTCTCTTTATACTAAAATATAAAAATAAATATCTAATTAAATAATAAACTAACTACACTCAATTTTAAAAAATTGTCTTTCAAATGAAACTAAAAAATAAACACACTCAATTAAAAAATTAACTACATTTTATGTTATTACATTACCCATTAATATTGTCTAAAAATTGCCATGTGAATTTTTAATAATTTATTATTTAACTAAATATCATTATTCATTACATAACTTCCCATCATCACTGTATTTCTGTCTTCTCTTTGGAGATTTCAGATAATGTTAGTATCTTCACTAGAGAAAACTAACAGAAAAGAAAATATGTACCATCAATATAAAATCAAATGAATGAGCCTACAGTGAAAAAAGTATAATGAATATTATTATTTATTCATCATTAAAATATTTGAGTTGATTTGGTTTAAGATTGAAGTATCAAATAGAATATTTAAAAAATAATTATAGATCAAGATAAGGTTATCTTCCAAAATTTAACAAATAACATAGGTTTATTTTCCAATTCAAACTTTTGTTTGTTTTCAATTAAAAAATTTAAGTATTTCGTTTGTTAAACTTTATCTCCAATTATCAATTCAAATTTTAAACTTATCTTCCAATATTTTAAATTTATATAAATTAATCTCTAAATATTTTTGGAGCTTTGTCTGTAATGACTCTGCGGGTCGTTTTGAGAATTTTAGCCCCGATCCCCTAATTTATGCTTCCTCTATCTTATATTATAGTTATATGACGTGTCGGGGTATTTGGTTTTGGTTTCGGGTGAGTTCCAGAGTGAAATGGGGCACATAGTCCATAAGTTTGAGGTTTAAGTCGTAGGAGTTGACCGTAGTTTGACTTGTGTGAAGATAACTCCGGAATAGAGTTTTGATGGCTCCAATAGCTCCGTATGGTAATTTTGGTCTTAGGAGCGTGTCCGGATGTTGATTTGGAGGTCCGTAGGTCATTTCAGCGTGAATTGGCTAAACTTGAAAAGTTGGAGGATTTTGGAAAGTTTGACCGGGAGTTGACTTTATTGATATCGGGGCCGGATCCCGATTCTTAAAGTTGGAATAGGTTTGTGATGTTATTTATGACTTATGTGCAAAATTTGAAGTCAATCGGAGTTGTTTTGGTATGAATCGGCATTGGTTTCGAAATTCGAAAGTTCATAATTGCTTAGGCTTGAATTTGAGTTACGATTCCTAGAATTTATATTGTTTGATGTGATTTTTGGCCTCGTGTAGGTCCATCATGTGTTTTGGAATTAGTTGGTATATTCGGACGGGGTCCCGGGAGCCCTGGGTGTGGTTCAGATCGAATCCGAAACAAAATTTGGACTTGTAGAATTGCTGAAGATTTGTAGCTTTTTGTGTTATCGCACATGCAGAGGGATTGGCTGCAGGAGCGGGCTCGCAAAAGCGAGCTGGGGATCGTAGGTGCGGAGCTGGCCATGTCTAGCTGGGGTCACAGAAGCGGGAAGAGATCCGCAGAAGCGACTTCACTTCTGCAAAGTAGAGAAGAGCAGGAGCGACAGTGGTTGCAAGTGCGACATATTTCGCCACAGGCGCGCATGCACAGATGCAACCTTGTTCTTGCAGAAGCGGAGAGTGAGGAGTTAAGTCATGGCCGCACCTGCGATGGGAATTCTGCAAGTGCGGAGCCGCAGATGCTGCATTGGGTCGCATGTGCGAAATACCTGGCAGAAAAGGGGAAAACCCAAGGGTTTGATTCATAATTCATTTTTGGACTTTGAGAGCTCGATGGGAGGCTATTTCTCGAGGATTTCTCATAGAGAACTTTGGGGTAAGGAATTCTAACTCGTTTTTGGTTAATTTACATGAATCTATTGATAATTTCTTCATTTAATTAGTGCTTTGGAGTTGGAAATTGGGGGGAAATGGTAGAAACTCCTTAGGCTAAATTTTTGAGTTTTGAAAGGCGAATTGAGGTCGGATTTGAGTAATTCTTATATGGTTGGACTCGATATCGAATGGATGTTCGAATTTTATAATTTTTATCGGGTTCCGAGGCGTGGGTCCAAGTTGACTTTTTGGGTCGATTTTTCAATTCTTTACAAATATCGTAATTTCATTGTTTGAATTAGTTTTCTATAGTTATATTTATAGTATGAAATTATTTTGGCTAGATTCGAGCCGTTCGGAGTTGGAAAATCGAGGAAAGGCCTTCTAGTAGATTGATTTAGCGTGGTTTGAGGTAAGTGGCTTGCGTAACTTTGTGTGGGGGAATTTCCCCTTAGGATTCGTGTTGTTTGTGATAATTGTGATGTGTAAGAGCCGTGTACGCAAGATGACGAGTGTGTGCATGGACTAAATGTGAAAATTACCAGTTTTTAGCTATGTAAATTCCTTTCATGCCTTAATTGAGTTACCTTAATATTTTGTAGTCATCATTTCTAGTCTAATTTCACATGTCTACTTGTCTTATCTCTTACTTGGTAATTGCTCTTTTAGTTGAAATTCTTGTTTTCTTACTCCGTATTTATTATTTAACTATTGAATTCTTTACTTGAAATTGCTATTCTTGGAATATCTTGTTGTTGAAATTGGTATTGGGTTGCAAAGGCCGTGATTCCTATTGAGGCAAAGTATTAAGTTGTGAAATTGTTAGTAGACTGTATTTGTAAAATAATTCTGGAAATATAAATGAGTATAAACAGAAATGAACATAAACAGAAATGACATAAAACCAATTCGAGCCCACTGAATTCACAGTGTTTCCTTAAGGAATTTAATCCCCTCCTAGTACCCAAGGTTATGGATTATTTCCTCCCAGGATAGAACGAATTACACACTGGTGTAGTGGTACTTCAAACCCCAGTGTTTCAGCGAACACGAAGTTCGGTAGCAAATCACACTTACTTTTTGCTTTGTTTGATGCTAAAAGTATGCAGAAGAAGGAGAAGAAACTCAGAAAATCGTAGTGAAATTCTGAGCAGAATAGTGTTGTATTTATAGCCAAAGTTAGGCTGAAATCTGAAGAGGTGCAACTCTTCAGAATGGCTGTTTATGCAAAACGCCCACAGCATAAATGCCATTACATAAATGGCCATTTACTCAATAATAAAGAGGGAAAATAAAGAGGGAAAATTGAAGAGGGTAGTTACTTTTCTGTTACCAAAACAGAAAAACGGATTGGATTTAATATTAATATTTAATATTAATATTTTGTTATTAAAACAAATATTTAATAACATTTCTGTTAATATTTTACTATTAACAAATAAATTTGGTCCAAAAAGTTAATCAATCAATCGATCATTTGACCAAATCCAAATCCGAATCCGAATCCGAATCCGAAGCCGAAGCCGAAGCCGAAGCCGAAGCCGAAGCCGAAGCCGTAGCCGTAGCCGAAGCCGAAGCTGAGCCGAGCGAGCGACGACGACGACGGCGCGAGGCTTGCCTTCTTCTCAACTCTTTAAGAGCTAGAAGAAGAGCAATTGCTTATATACCCATAAAAAACCTCTTCCTCTTCCAATATGGGACAATGCCCATTTGCCAAGGGGGGGGGGGACTTAAAATTTCACTCAAAAATTTTATTTCCCTCCATTTCCCATTCACCCTCTTTTAAGTATTTAATATATTAATTAAACACATCCAAAACCCAACAGAAATATCATTCTATTGAGTTATTCTCCCAGTTGTTATTGTTGAGACTTTGTGTACATTGTGGTTAAACCGTGGGCTCCTTATTGTGAAATTCTGTTATTGTTTGGTTTCTCTGGCAAATTGTGATATTAGACACTTGAGGTGTGATTTATGATACATTGTGATATTGATACGCATGCGGTGGTATAAGGTCTGAGTGTTGAAATGCATGCGGTGAGATAAGGTGGGCTTGATACGCGTGGCTAGTAGGGAAACTACTAGAAGCCATGTGGTGTGATAATGTCACGACCCAATTCTATTTTAGGCCGTGATGGCGCCCAACACCGTTGCTAGGCAAGCCAACAGTGAACAATCTAGTGATTTCCCATTTTAATAAGTTTTTCAAGTAAACAAATTTTCTTAATTTAAAAGATTTAATGAATAACAGATTTAAAATAATTAAAACAAAAGCAGCTAAATGCAATCATAACCATAGAAATAAAACCAAAACCACAAGTCTACTAGTGTGTGCTAAGACCCGGTATTACAAGTGTATGTGCTACTAGTAGAATATACAAAAGATTTTTAATCTACTTCTGAAATGAAATAGACATAACAATGAACAAAAGAAAGACTCCGGCTGTTGCAGAACGGATCGGAAGGGCAGCTCACCGTGTAGTCTCGCAACAGGGATCAAGTATGCGCGCCGGACTGATATCCA